CATACAGAATTTGGCTCTGAAAAATTAGAGGGAGATGATTTGGAGCAAATAACTAAGGATGATGATAAATCAGACGCTAAAGTGTCAATCGATTATAATTTATATAGAAAATTTTGGGCACTTCAAGATTTCTTTAGAAATCCCAATCAGTTATACTTGAAAGTGCACTGGAAGGTATTTTCAATGGTAAGTATAAATTATTGTATTTTTTTTTTGTTATACTTGCATTTATATATTTTTTTATCATAAATTAGTTTCATATTTTTTGTTGTTTAGCATGCTTCAAGTGTGTTGTCAGCATTTTCATCTTTTAAATTGGAAGAACAACGTAATTATCCTTCAACGTGTGTTGACATTGATTCTTCCATGGAAGAATCTCATAAGGAAACTCTTTATTTTGCAAAATATTTGACAAATCAAAAATTATTGGAGTTGCAATTATCTGACTCAAACTTCAGAAGATACGTATTGCTGCAGTTCCTCATTCTTTTCCAGTATCTCAATAGCACTGTTAAATTCAAAGCGTAAGTATTTATAATTTATGTACATCTTCACATACATTTGTATTTTATTACAATCGAATTCACAATTCCTCTCGATAGAATCGCACATTTTTAATGAATTATTAGTAAAATGACTTTAAAAGCTATAAATGTTTTTTTTTGTTTCCCAAAGCTTCCTTGCCAGTGGCTATGAGACAAGGTCTGCTTTCCTTAAATAGTGTTTCAGGTTATTTGTATTCTAGAATCTCAATAATTTTTGTATTTTCTAGTGAAACACACGAACTGAAACCTGATCAAGTAGACTGGGTAAAAGCAACCACGGAGCAAGTGTATGCCTTACTGACAGAAACGCCTCCTGATGGTCCAACATTTACTGAAACTGTTAAAAATATATTGAAACGCGAAGAGCACTGGAACGCTTGGAAAAATGAAGGATGTCCACCATTCAAAAGACTAACTCCAGTGGGTTCTAGTGCTGACATGGAAGAGTTAAGGAAACCAAAGAGACCAAGTCGTAGAATTGGAGATGTTATTAGAGATGCTCAAACAGTAGGAAAATATCACATTGGAAAGTAAGTAACTATGGAAAAATTGTATTTATTTCTTTTCTCGTTTTAATTGTATTTATTTATTTTAATATTACATAATTGAATTTAATTGATTTACAGTCCTGAACTCACGAAGTTATGGAACTTGTGTCCCAATATCTTGAAGCATGTAAATCCAAGGAAAGAGATTTCCTTCCTTCCTTAGAAACATACTTTGAAGAAGCTATTATGCAACTAGATCCGAATGCAATGGTAGAAGATGAATATAAGTAAGTATCTTTTTTATATATTTGTGTTTTGTTTTTAAATTCAAGCTACTTTAAATTAAACTACATTATTCCTGTTTATTTTTTTATAGAAAAGTAAATGATGGAAATTTCGGCTGGCGAGCATTAAGATTATTAGCTAGACGTAGTCCCCATTTTTTTGTTCACGGAAATTATCCTATTAATAAACTTCCTGAATATCTCGAAACTATGATTAAAAAAATTGCAAAAGATCGTCCAGTGAGTACTTTTATTTCAGTAATCTATGTTAAATCTTTAAATTTATGTTAAAAAATTTAAATTTAAAATGAATTTACTTTGTCTCTTAAAGCAGACACAATCGGATATAAAATTAGAAATGGAAGAGACTCCACCACCAGAAGTGAACGATCAAGAATTTAACGAAGATGTTCTAAAACAAGAAAGTGAACAAGTTGAAGTTGAAAATACGGATACAAAAAGACGAAAATTAACGAATGTGACACCTGAAATGGTGGCGAAACTATCGGAAATTTTGAAAAACGATTGGAAGAAATTAGCAACCAAGCTTGGTTACACGAACGAGGAGGTAGAGATCAATTTTAATATACACAAACCTAACCTAATGGAAAGAAAGGAAAGGTTACTAACCATAATATTTACATTTTTTAGATTACGTTTTTCCAAGGGAAACAAACACCATACGAACAATGTAAAAATATGCTAGAAATTTGGGCGGAAGAAGATGTAGACGCGTCCATGGAGAATTTAGCATATATCTTAGAAGGTTTAAAATTCACGGAAGCGTTAGATGTTTTAAAACCTTAATTATTTCATAAAAGCGATATGAAATGGAATGTATAAAGTTTTTTCAA